GAACAATCAATATTGCAATGCAGCCCTGAACATACATCATCATCATCGTTCCATGGTGTGAAAGGGGTCTGGCGATTCACACAGGAAGACTGCGGCAGCCCCAACCATACACAGACGAAGAAGAAGGGGGTTAGACGAAGAGGAGGGGAAGATGGGAATGTCGTCAACGCCAAGTCTTCAGCACAGGCCCAAATAGTCCCTCGTCAAAATGTCTGAATCCCAAATGTCGAGTCTGGATCCAATGTCGTCAAGTCCCAAGTCACAACTCTCTCTCTCTCTCTGTCGTAGTCTGAGAAGTCAGGTGGTGAGGAGAGGGTGAGAAGAGATGGTGGACTTAGAAGAGGAAGAAGAAGAACTCTCTCTCTCTYTGTGTCCAGTACTAACCTGTGAAGTTGGCGCCTTGATGCAGGTACCTCGAAGATGGAGCCGGAGCTATGGCGCCACAGGTAAGTACTGCTGGCCTCCGCCAGCCATCTCCCTCCAATGCTACTACTACCACCTACTAGCACCCAGCGCTGAAGACTACACCTACAGCTATGGGCGCCCAGCGCTGAAGACTACTCCTAACACTGAAGACTACTGCAGCGCTCCTCCTGAGTGCTGCGGCCGAATCCTGAAGACTACTCGTGCCTACTGTCCAACTACCTACCGTGAAGTGCATGGGAAAGTCCTATGTACTACTCGGCCTGCCTCCTGACTGCAGAGCAAGGCAGTCCAGGAGGCTGCTCTTGCCAATGCCGCAGGGAGTCAGGGGCTGCCGCTGCAGCTCCTGCTTGAGGCAGTCGTGGGAACAGGCTAAAGATAGCCTGTTCCAAAAACCCTGTTTTTGTGCCTGACTCTAGGGTCGGTTGAAACAATGAGGGCCTGAAAATGGCCCTCCGTTTCAGGCTGAGAAGCCTCTGGGCCTGAAAGGCCCAGAAATAGGCTGAAAACGGAATAGGGCCTGGAGGCCCTCGTTTTTCAGTTTCAGGCTGAAACAACCGGGGCCTGTAAGCCCTATTTTCTAGGCTTTTAGGCTGAAAGTGCGGGACAGGTCCTCCAGGCCCCGTATGGCTACGCACTATGCCACACCCCCCTCCTTGAAAGACCGAGCTTACCTGCGAGGGCGAAGCTGTCTGTCTAAGGGAGGGACCACAGTCCGGGTGGGAGGGGCCAGTCGTGAAGCTTCCTGAGCTAACCTTTGTTTCTCATAATGCGCGTAGATCAGCGGTGCGGATGCTTTCAAATCTCCTCCTGAAATCCACCGAGTGTCGTCGCGATCGCAGGCTTTGAATGTAACTTTGTACTATCGCGGCTTGCTGCCGTACTTGCGATCGGTGATGACGCGGTCAACTTCCTGCGATCGGTGATGACGCGGTCAACTTGCTGCCGTACTTCCTGATGACCATCCATAGAAGGAGGGTCCTGCGATCGTCGGCCCGAAAAGTGGTCGGTCTTAGCTGGCGTGTATGTTGATCACAAATGAAGGGCCATCGGGCTCATCGCCCGCGGCTGATGTTACGGGCCATGGTCCAAACCACTTGGGAAGCAGTTTGCGTGAGACATCCTGTTCCAGTGCAAACTCTTCCGCGAAAACCCAAACCAGGTCGCTGGCGCGAATGGGACATGGCACGCGATGCCTGTTGGCTTGCTGCTCCATGCGGACTTGAGGCTTTTGCATATTCGCGCGGGCTTGATCCAGCAATTCCCTGTACTTCCGGACGGAAGCAGGAGAGCAAGCGGCATCGATGTCGGTTGGTCGTGGGAGGAGAAGGTCGGGGAAGATACGGCCTTTCCGTCCACCGTGGTGCAACTCGAGTCGAGTCACGCCGATCGCCGGGTGCACCGAAGTGTCGTAGGCGAACTCGATGTCGGGGAGGCGGTCAACCAAATCTTTCTGGTCCGGACGGATGAGTGCACGAAGCATCATTTGAGCGGTTTGATGTGCCCGCTCCGTCTGCCCGTCTGTTTGTGGATGCCAAGCCGAACTTGGCTTCATCTTCATACCGGACTCCTGCATGAGACCAGTCCAAAATGCCGACATGAAGCGAGTGTCGTGGTCGCTGACTATGTCTTCTGGTACACCATGGCCACAAATCCAACCGGTGTGCAAGAGGCGTGCCACCTCGGGAGCCGTGGAGTAGTACTTGCAAGGGAGAAAACACGTGTACTTACTCAATCAATCCACGACCGTGAGGATGCCGTTGTGTCCGAGGCGGTCGCGGGGGAATGGTCCGGTGACATCCATGGCAATGGAGAGACCGAGTTCCCGCGGGATCGGCATCGGGCGCAGCCTGCCGTAGGGGTTGCGGTTGCAGGGTTTGCTTCGTCGGCAAACTTCGCAAGAGTCGCAATACCTCGTGACGTCGATGATGAGATCGGGCCATCGGAATTGTTGTCGAAGCCGTGCAATACTGCGATTGACTCCGAAATGGCCGGCGAGTCGAGAATCATGCTACTGGCCGAGGAGGCGAGTCCGAAGACGGCGGTCGCGCGGGACACATAGTAAGTCCTTGCCCCGAGAGTGCAGGAGAAAGTACCCATCGTGGATGCAGTAGTGGCTGTCCGGCGGGTGATCCGAAGATAGCTGCGCATATAGCGTGGCGAAATCTGGATCGGACTCATAGCCCCTGATGAAGTGTCGCTGGAGCTCCTCGTCGAATGCGAAGGCATGATGTGTCATAGCGCAAAGATCGGGTCTTCGCGAGAGTGCATCTGCTGCGCGATTGGAGAGGCCAAGAAGATGTTTCAGTGTGAAGTCAAACTGGTCGATGAAGTACATCCATCGTCCGATCGTGTTGCTCACCGTATCCTGTGTCTTGTAGTAGGTCAATGGATTGTTGTCCGTAACTCATGTGAACCTACGACGCCCAAGGAGGAAGTGCCGCCATCGCTTGAGAGCCATGACTAATGCGAGCAGCTCCTTCTTCCTTGCATCATCAAGCGAGTTGTTGGGAGGCACTTTGTGGCTGAAATACTCCACAGGGTGCCAATCGTCGCCGTCGTGCTGTTCCAAGACTGCCCCAATGCTATAGCCAAAAGCGTCAGTCGTCACTCTCGTAGGCAGGGTGGGGTCATAGATGCCAAGGACGGGTGCCATGAGCATAGCCGTCTTAAGTGCTTGGAATGACCGTTGTGCGTCGTCATCGAAACGAATGGCACCTTTGGCGATTGTAATCTCGTCATAGGTGCAGCAATCCTCGAGTATCCGGTGATGAATCACTGATAGTAGCCTGCCAATCCCATGAATGAACGAATGTCCGTGGAGTTGGTGGGCTCGGGCCATACTCGTAGGGCGTCGATCTTGTCCGCAAGCGGACGGATGCCTTGCGGCGTCACATAGTGTCCCAAGTACTCCAGCTCTTGCCGCGCAAATTCGCACTTGTCGCGGTTGGCTATGTACTTGGCTTGTCGTAGCCGCTCCAAAACGGTGCGCAGGTGTTCCACATGCTCGTCCAAACTCCGGCTGTACACCAGGATGTCGTCGAGGTAGATAAGTACGTATCGATCCAGCATGTGTCGGAACTCCGTTGTCATAGCCGCTTGGAAAGTGGCGGGGGCATTCGTAAGGCCAAATGGCATAACTAGCCATTCGAAATGCCCATATCGCGTCTTAAACGCGGTCTTGTAACGGTCCTCCTGCCGAATCTCAAGTTGGTGATATACCGACTTGAGATCGAGTTTGGAGAAGAACTTGGCGCCGCCCAGTCGCTCGAGAAGATCGTCGATGCGTGGGAGAGGATCAACGTTTCTGATTGTCTGCGCGTTGAGCTTGCGATAATCGATGCACAACCGCAAATCCTTGATCTTCTTCCGGACGAAGAGAACATGAGCACCGTATGGAGATGAGCTAGGCCGAATCCAGCCTTTCTCAAGAAGGTCGTCGAGTTGTGCCCGTTTCACACTTTAAATCTTCCTTGCTCATTTGGTAGATGCAACCGCGCGGAGGTACAGCCCCGTCCTCGAGGATGATCTCGTGGCGGATGGGTCGATCCGGTACTACTCTGTGCGGGCCTTCGAACACGTCGCTGTAGGCATCAAAAAGTTCGATGATGCGTGGATCCGAAGATGAGTCTGTCGATGAAGCGTCATGGGGCGAGAGGGCGTGGAGAAAACACACCCTCATCTCCTCGATGCCGTCTCTGATGATGGAAGCTTGCATGCTTGCTGCGGATACCACGTGGCAGTTGATCGAAGGATGAGAAAGAGGCATCGTGCATGGGACTAGTACTCCGTTCCGATCACGAATGTGAACGGTGCGGTGTCAGAAGTTCATCGGGTGATCCTCGCTTCGCAATCATGACATGCCCAAGATCATGTTGAATTTGGTGTCCAGAATGTCAAAGGACACCGCCTCACTTGCGTGAGGGGCAAAGTACACTGGGACGTCATCAATGCACCGGTCGATTGACTTGTGCGTGTGACCGTCCGCCAAGGTGACTTGCGTAGGCTGAGACTTCCTCCGGACGCGTGGGCCAAGGCCGGCGCGCACCATGAAGTCCTGGCTGTAGTTGCGAGATGCTCCGCAATCGATCAAAGCGCCGCAGGTCGCCTCTCCGATCTGAATGCGTACATATAGCAATGGTGCGTCGATGTCCTCATACCGTTGCGTCTTGAACTCGCGGTCGATCTTCGCAATGTAGGAGTGAAGGTCGACAACCTCTACTCCGGCATCCATCAACGGAGTCGGTACTACAGTGTGCAAGTAATCCCGCAGTTGTGCCATCAGCACATTGCAATGCGGTTTCGGATCTCGACCGGTCGGGGGAACGGGCATCCACTGGGAGTCTGTGAATGACAACCGGTCGAGCTCTTCAAGTCTTGACCATGAAGTCGAATCCCTGGAGATAGGTTGCGGCGAAGCTGCTGAATCGATCGTCGGTGGTGATGAAACGGTCCATGCGGTAGATTGTTGCACGTGGAGCGGTTGGTCCAACGGTGGGACAAAGTGGACAGCATAGTCCTAGTAAGAATACCGAGAACTTACGACATTCGCATCCTCCCCATATGTGTAGGAGGCCGCTAGCAAGGCGGCTGAATCTGGCGGAGTGGGAGGTGGAGTCGCCTCACCTCCCGCGAAACTCAGTTTCCCGAGTTGAGACGAGGCCGCACATCCTCCTTGGCCTGATCCTAACAAAGGGAGGTCTTGTACTTGGTGCTGTTGCACCAGTAACAGCAGCCGTAACAGCCGCGGTACTTGTACTCGGCCTCGGTCAAGCCGAACTAGGCTGTCCATTTCCGGCCGGCGATGCTGATTTCGCCATCCCGTTACCTCGGGACTTCCATTTCCAGCCGGGGATGCTGATTTCGCCTTCCCATTACCTTCTCCACATAGGTCGGCTGCCATGTTGACCTCTCGTGTGCAGCCGCCCTATTGGTCTTGATGATCTCTCTAGCCTTGTCAATAATCTCCGCGAAAGTTGCATACTGCTTGCGATCACCAAGTGCCTGGCTCAATGCAGCGCATAACCTGTTGTAGAACTCACGCGCAAATGCGGAAAAGGTAAGTCAAGATCGGGCGTTGCCGCGATCTTCTGCCATTCCGTGAGCCAGTCACGTGTTGATGAGTTGCCTTCAGTCATGGTGAAAAAACGGTTGATGGCGAGTGTTGGTGCGTCGTCAACGATGAACCGCTTCTTCCACAGCCGTGTTAACTCTTCCCATGTGATCTTGTCTCTCAGCTCTGCGACGTCGACGCCGTGGGTGGCTGCCAGGGGTTAACCAGATATGGCATCCGCCCTTTGAGTTCATGAACAGGGCGCCGATGTACGCGTGCTTGGCGACAGGTAGAATCCGAAGTTGTGTCGTGAAAGCTTCCCACCAGAGCACCGGGTTCTGATGCGTGTAGTCATCGAACTTCTCAAGTTGAAAAGTTGTCATCTTGTATTGCTTTGGATTGTTGCCATCCGTATTCGTCAACTGCAGTTGCTGGACCTCGGTCTTCAAAGTATCCAACTGATTGCTGATGGTGGTCGGCGCAGCGAAGGTGCTGATGTCGCCGAGCATTGCGAGGACGTGGTCGGCGCATTGCTCTAGTTGGCAGTTAGAGGATGCACTGCTGGACTCACCAGCATTTGGTCCTAGTACGGCTTGCTCCAGGTCCAGTACACGGGAATTGAGTGCCCGTGTAGCATCCTCGTGGCTGTACAGTATCTGGCGGAGGTTCGCCAACTCTTGGTGTTCTGTCTTCAGATCCTGGTACTGTTGCTGCAGTTCCTGGTTCTGTCTCTCTAACTCGGACTGTTGGTAGTTGCAAGCGTACAACAACCGTGTCACGACTTTGGAGAGGAACTCCTTATGCTGCTCTTCCGGTGTCGCGTCATCGCCATTGGACGGTTGAAATTGCCAGAACTTGAGTCTTTCAATGCTGGCAGCTTCATGCCGCTGCAGCACATCCTCGGCTTCCTTGCGGCGTGTCTGGGCATTTGCGTCTGCTTCGGCCTGTAGCCGCTGCTTCTCAGCTGTTGCCGCCGCTTCAGCCTGTAGGCGGGCAGCCTCGGCTGCCAGCTGGCGCCGTTCCTCAGCCTCGATCAGAGCGAGCTGAGCCTGGAACCGCTATTTGTAGTCTGCAAGAGACTCGTTGGCCAGTTGGCATGGCGTGCCCAAAGCTGGGCCCATCATGGTGGCGTGGCACTGTGACGTGGCACTGTGACCGACGTGGCACTGCTGACGTGGCACTGTTGCTGTCGTGGCACTACTGACGTGGCACTGTTGCTGACGTGGCACTGCTGATGTGGCACTGCTGACATGGTACTGCTGATGTGGCACTGTTGCTGACTTGGCACTGCTGACGTGGCACTGTACCTAGCCGGAAATGCATCAAAGGGGTGGGTGGGAGGGAAAACGTAGCTAGGCAACCAACCCAACAATGCTTTCCTCCGCCCCTAATCAACAGGTAAAAAAATGAAAAAAAATAAAAGAGGACTACTTCCCTTTTTTTTTTTTTTTTTTGTATATCTGTCGATCTGTGATGAGTGGGACATATCAGAGAAATATGAACGAGATCTAGGCTAGGTTCCGCAAAGTTTCGGCTTTCACAAAATACGATCTTGAATTTTTTTTTGCGAAATGGAGTAAAGATGTGATTTTCAGAAAAGAACAAAATCCAGTTTCTGAGAATATGGCAATCTCCGAATATGGCCAACGAAATGTTGGTAGGCTTCGCAAGATTTCAGTTTTCAAAAAAAAATTCCGAGATAGAATGGAAATTCAATTTTCAGAAAAGAATAATTTCGGTTTCCGAGAATATGACCACTTCTATCGTTATCCAAATAAGCCTAGAAAAAGAAATACTAACATCAGAAAATTTCAGCTATGTATGCGAAATATCAGAGAAACGAAATGCTACTATCAGGAATTTTCAGACAAAACGAAATGCGATTTATCAGAAATTTTCAGATATTTGTTACGTGAAAACGAAATACCAATATCAGAAATTTTCAGGTAAAACGAAATGCGAATATCAGAAATTTCAGATCGTTGTTGCGAGAAAAAAAAAATTCAGAGTTTTGACGAAGTCCTTCTTGATTTACTGATGAGTGATCAATAGATCAAGCAAGCTGGCTACTTGATTGAGCGGGTCCTCTGAATGAGAGGTCCGCTCCAATACCAAACTGTTGCATACTGTAACGGTGCAGACCAGAACAAGAACCGACCTCTCAATACAAAGTACAAGATGGCGTAGCGGAAGACTTAGATACCA